ATCGTTTAATCATATAAAAAAGGTGATCGCCATCGCAAAATGTAATGTCGCTTAAAATGCCAAATTGAGATGTCTAATTATATAATTATTTCAATATTTAATTAATTGATAATGAATCGTCGTACATAGCACAAATAGTTCGTAGTTTATTATAATTTTTTATATTATATATTTCAAATTTGAAATTCGCGCTGCCTCCATTTTTATTTTTAAATATTTTTTTTTTGAGTAACCTGTTTATCACTTAATTTAGAATTGGCACTATAAGTCCAATAAATTGTCATTAGCTTGTATATTAGTGGTGTATTTTTAATTTGTAAGCTTATCGAAAGAAGTCGACAAACAAATATCATTTATTTCTTCATTTAAACCTTCGAGCGCGAAAATAACCAGCCCTCTTATCACAAACAGCGACGAACAGTCACGGATACAGTTCTTTTAGGAACATAACTGCACGTGAACCCCACGGACCGAGAGTCTCTACAGCAAATGGCACAAATATGTAGTCATTTTTCAAAGACTCACATTTGCGCCACTTACTTAATAAATAAATAATAATCTCAAAAACAAAAACCAAACAATCTTTTAAGTAAAAACTTTAATTACATTTTATGTATGTAAAGTTGCAGCATTTTATATTCACCACACTGAGAGGTTTTTAGGTCAAGGAAATGTCGGCCACGCTACCTCAATGCCTGTTGGCGGATTGTTACATTTCTTCGAATTTGTTTTTAATTTCTCAAACATGCGGGTTTCCTCGCAACAATCGCAATGTTTTCCTTCACCACCGAGTACGTGGTAAATTATCTAGGTAATTTACCACTTTCTTAATATATCATGTAATTTAATTATTTTAATAAAACTGCTCTAAAAATGTTATTTGGTCAGTCTAGTTAGTTAACTAACCTTTACCTACTGTTTTCAATTAATGATTTTATTTGGTGTTTGAAAAAATTTATAAAATATTCTGATGCAAACGCTTTTTTCGCTAATTTAACTGAAAATTACTTTTCATAATCACTTAATTTTTCTCCAATCGATAATCGATCGATATAATCGATTGTATATACAAAAAATCGATTGATAGTTGGTTATCAAATTTCCACTTTTTACGTTTTATTAAATTATTCTTTTTAATTCTTTTGTTTTCAAAAAAAATGTGTTATAAAATCATTTTTATATATTAATATAATAATAAATAATCACGTAGGAAATATGTGAAAACTATCTGGAAATAGATACTCGTGCCAAAGCGCTAACCGCTAAGTGTGACAGATAAAAACTAAAATCCTGCATATTCCATTTTAGTCACGTCCGCCTTGTGGACGAAATCCTTCATAAAGTAGCCTGGATGGGTCTCGAACATTCTTTTACTATTTCTGTTCGTTGATATCTTATAAACTATAATTTATATTTATTTGAAATATTATTTCTATTTTATTTTGCTACGTCATAAATATATCCTTATGATGAAGCATTTTTAAACGTGGTAGAGCCATGCTGCAGTTATGTTAGTACTGAGTATAGTTGTAGCACGAATGGGTCGGCTCGACCAGGGAAGATCCACTTTTTACTGGAAATGAAGCATTCCATCTTAGACCTCACAGGTGACAACGCATCTGCACTTTGATTCGTAATCGAGGATAGGTGTAGATGTCTATGGGCTACAGCAACCACTTACCTTCAGATGGACTGTGCTTTTTTGTGAACCTTATCCTATAAAAAAGTATAATAAAATGATTATTATGTTTAGTTTTAATAAGATAAGAAAAAGATAATAAAATATATTCAATCATTTCGTAACCTAAATTGAGCATATATAGGGTAATGATGACACTGCAAGACTTCATGATACTATAAGCTCGTTTTGCGTAAATCGGACCAAAAATTAATATTCAAAAACTGAAGGTAGCCGGACTAACTATGACATTGAGACGTCAAACATCTCAGTCCCCCCCGTGACCATGGTTGCTGTAAAGCACCCGAAACGTCGGGAATTAAAAATAAGTAAAAGTAGTGAAATAAACGCGATAAAATCCTTAAATTTAGTTTTATTCAATGTGTAGTGTTCGCGTAAATTTAAGAAATCATTAGAGTAATGATTTCTTAAATTTACGCGAACACTACACATTGAATAAAACTATTATTTACGGATTTTATCGCGTTTAATTACTTTAATTTATTTTTATTATTATCCTGACGTTTTGGGTGCTTTACAGCATCCATGGTCACGGGTGGGACTGAGATGTTTGACGTCCCAATATTATAGTTAGTCCGGCTACCTTCAGTTTTTTAATATTAATTTTTGGTCCGATTTACGCACGGTCCGTAAGTTTACGGATAATAATAAGATAAGAATTAAAGTAATTAAAGGATAATTCAATCCGTAAATAAGTATTCAGATACATAGGGTACTTTATTTTTTAATGCCTTGTTGATCTAGTTGTCGTAAACGCGATTACAAAACATGAGGTTCCGGTTCGAATCCTGGGTTGGGCCAAATTTTGTTATTTAGCAACCCGGTGTCGGAAAATTGGGGGTGTTTCACCTCCGTGCCACGGAAAGCGCGTAAAGGCGTTGGTCCTACGCCTGATCTCTCTACTCGGACTTGGATTATCAGAGTGAGAAAATAGAAAGTGAACCTGTGCTGGCGCATACGCTTGGGCACTAAAATACTGTCCTGCGCAGATGGCTAGTAGTAGAAAACCGGTTTAAATGAGCTTACTTTGAGAATGGTAGTACTATTCTCTGAGCTCTTTTTGCTTGTATAATTTTTTTTTACTTTCACCGAATACAAAATGAAAAATTTTATTATTCGTCATATAGGTCAATGATTATTTATTATTTTCCTTTAAATGGCACTTTTCATAATTTAAAGTAAGCTTTCACAATAATGTGATTTACATATTGTTAGGTATTTCGAACATGAAAAACAAAGTTTTAAAAACAAACAATAACACCACTTACACAAATACTTTACCACTTTTGTTATTACGCCCCGTCAGTACGTGGGAAACTAATTAAAACTTTGTTAAAAGCAGAAGCCCGCGAGGCGAAATTGTTTCGTAGGTTATGATTATGACAGCCTCGAAGTTTAAGGGTAAACTATCTTTGTCAAAGAGATAATAATTAACATTCACACCAAAGTATTTAGGCTCATGGTAAGGTGTAAAGTGTATATCTGTAAAATTATTACTTTATATAAGCGTATCAATTTCGATAATTTACGTAATATTGAACGTCGATGAATAAATTCGTGAGAGTATGACATAACAAACTAAATAAAACTTCGTAGTTATAATCTAGATTATACTAATAAAATATTATGCTGTACTTTTAATTTATACATTTAAATTTTATTGGAAACAGCATAAACTCATAAGAGTGTAATAATTAACACTTTCGTTTTTTACATTCTCAGACCTAAGAGCAATAACTTCTTTATTTGTGTGAGTCCCAGGCTGAAAATTGAATTTTCTGTTTGTATGGGATTTTACAAGTACTGCTTGCAAAGGCTGGTTATGCTCGAAAGTACAAGTGGCATGTTAAAAGAAGGTACTAAAACTAGCACTTATAGGACCACTTTGATGATCGGCATTTTTTCATCTGAATTTATAAAAAAAAATCAAGCTTGTAAGTTAACGCAATGAAAAGATACGGCCAGTTATGTCACACATTTCCATACTTCCAAAGCCACTCATCAAAACCTAAAAGTTACAGCCTACATACTATACGCATACACCTGAGCACAAATCTCCTATCATTTCGGAGAGGGTTTTATTCATAGAATACTATAATACATAATAGTATTCTATGGTTTTAGTGTCTGTAGGGGCGGGGGCCAAACAGGGGGGATTTTTAATGGAAAAAAAAAAATTGCTGTTTTTTGTGGGGGGGGGGGAGGGGAAAGATGGTGAAAAAAAAAAAATTTGGGGGGGGTAACACCATAGAACTGAGGCCGAGGCTCTGATGGTATGTATATGTTGTTTAATGTATTTGTATAATTTTATTTTTAAATTCATTGTTTCCTATATTTTTCTTTCCATAAATATTATTCTTTCGTATATTTGTCGAATTAAAATGGTTAAAGTTAAAATTGCGTAGTATTGTCCCTTGTTAATAATTATCATTCGTAAATATGAAACATAAAGTGAAACCCGTTACGAAGAGTAAAACGTTCATATAAATCAAACGCCTAACATATGAACGATATTAAAAGGTTTTACTTATTACTATAACATTTAATTATTACTAAATAATAAATATTTATTTTTACAACAATAAACATATGAATTTTAGCAACGTAGTATATTACAGTTGTTAGCGCAGGATGGATTTGCAGTTTGCATTCGAGAGTGGGTTCGATTCCAGGAATACGAACTCAAATTTTCTTTTTTGTATTTTATATATTTATTTAGATACATTTATTAATTACTTTATAAGTAAAAAAAAATAAATGTAATTTTTTTTAACCTTATTCTTGGCACTGTGTACAATTTGATACGTTCAACTTTTAGAAAATCTCGAGACTTTCTCAAACGAATTTTTAAAACTTTTATTGTTTAAAATATTAGAAAATATACTTGTATTTTTACCAAAAATACTATTTAAGTGCTAGCAACACCAAAAAGAGCTATATAACGCAAGATGGCGGACCGACTGAATGCGTCTACGCATCCCAAGTTAATAATAATCATTATTTATTTTTTTGTACAAATAGTTGTCAAAAGTAGTCTAATTCGCATAGCTTATTATATATTCTAGTCATAAACGTTATTTTCTGTACCTAAATGAATAGGAAGTGCATGTAATCTTTTGTGTTTTACGAGTGTAGCAAATATGATACATTGCTAGATGGCGAATATTCTAGATATTTTTTGCTATGTATCAAATATGTGACATTGCCTGATTTGTATAGATACCACTCGGGTTTGATTCACAGACCGCGGCTATATCTAGGCTACGATTAAATTGGCTGTTGTGGCCAAAATGTAGTCAAGATGACTATTTTATTACTACTATTTCTTATTTTTTCCGCAGGTACTTCCTCACCTTATTATTCAACAACAAAGAACAGCTCGGCAACTCGTAGCTATTGTTCCGAAGCCGGGAGCAGGGAATTGGACGAAAGTGAATCATCTGATGATGAAATTCAGTACTACACCCGCCCAACGCACTCCGACAGTAGTTCACCACCTCCATCACTGCCATTTTCAATTGAAAACCTAAATCTTCTCTCAGATGACGATATTGAGGTAAATCAAGTGGTTGCTTCAACATTTCTGGTACTACATCAACAGTCATCGGTGTCATCACCATCAATCAACCCTTTTTCGGCATCAATTTTATCGGCCAATCCATCAGCAACTGAGACTAGTCCTTAGTGTCGGGTACCGTCACCATTATCACCATCTATACTGGCTACTCCCTCACAAGTACCTTCACCAAGAGTTAGTAACTTCAAGCGGCGTAATCAGTTACCGCCGCCATCGCCATTGTTTGCACCTTCTCCTTCAACAGCTACTCGCTCAAAGAGGCCTAGACTAGTCACAGTAAAGCGCATAGTAATACCACCGAAAAGGTTAGTACCTAATTGGAGTTGCTTCAAGTTTACTGGTTGTGCAGAAGTGGATGATATCGCGTTTGAGCCACGTGAAGAGAAAAGTCCAATTGAATACTTTAGGCTGTTCTTTTCTCCCCCCCCCCGAACGGGTTCCCGCCTTGTCGTGGCGGGGGGGCTTAGTAGCCGTGGCGTGGTCTCCCACGGTGAACAAAGAGGAACCCACGTGGCTGGCCCGAGGTGAAGGGCCGGCCTGAGGTGGCTGCTCCGAGTGGGCTTGGGGAGCCCACTTCGGATGTGTGCTGGTGGACTGCAGCGAGTGGGGACTCGCGCACCCTCTACCGCTGCAGCCGAGGTGGAGTCGCGGAGGAAGAGGAGTGTTGGTATGGCGATGCGCCACTCGCCCTATCCTTCGCGACTCAAACGGGGCCGCACCGTTGATGTGGTGGTGGTGGGGCTGCGGGGGGAGAGGATTGTCGGTATTGCGAGGCGCCGCTCTCCCTACCCTCCGCAGCCGAATCTTGGTTGGCGGCGGAGCCATAGACCAGATCCGCCGCTGGGGTCGGGAAGGCTAGTACTTCTAAGTGCTCGTTTTTCCTGGCCCCATGGCCTTTGTGCATTGGACGCGGGGGCGTCTGTTGCACAGACGTAGTTGGAGGTCGTGGAGGAGGGCGCGCCATGTGTTCTGATGCGCCTTACCTGGGAAGGAGAACGGGGAGGAATTTTCCTCTCCCGAGGAGGTGCTGCCATGGGGCGGCAGGCGCTAGTAGGGCCGCGGATGTGTGCGAAAGCGTTCCCGTAGCCCTGCCAATATGCGACAAAGGTGGAACACCATGGGGTTTTAGTCGGTGCGAGTCCGACATAACCCGTCCTTGGCCCCGCGAGGCGGGTATGCGTAGGCATTTCCCCCACGCAAAAAAAAAAAAAAAAAAAAAAGGCTGTTCTTTTCTGATGACATAATTTCTCTTATAGTGCAACAAACAAATTTATATAGCACACAATTAAAGGGCAATTCAGTAAATATTACAGAAGACGATATCAAAGATTTTCTGGCAATTCTAATATATATGGGTGTCAATAAATTGCCAACTTATGCAGATTATTGGGCTAAACTTACGCGATGCGATAAAGTAGCTGATATAATGACCCTCAAGAAGTTCCAATTACTGAGGCGTTATTTGCATTTTAATGACAATTTGAAAGATGATGGTGATAGGTATTATAAAGTGAGGCCAGTCCTTCAAATAATACGTGAGAATTGTTTACAAATAGAAGAAGAGACACGTTTCAGCGTAGACGAAATGATGGTTCCACATAGAGGAACAAGAGCAGGCAGCCGCAAACAATATATAAAAAATAAACCGAAAAAATGGGGTTATAAAATATTTGTTCGCGCTGGTGTCTCTGGAATAGTCGACTTCCTGATCTATGGAGGCGATGACACGTTCAGATTTCACTCGTTCACGGATGAAGAAAATAGTATGGGCCTAGGGTCAAAAGTAGTTTTAGCTTTGGCAAAATCTATTCGACAACCTGCTTGTAAAATCCTGTGTTTCGATAACTTTTTTCACATCTATTGAACTGTTACAATATTTACGTAATGAGCGCGGCATTTTTGCAATAGGTACAATCCGAGAAAACAGGCTCCGAGGAGCGGAGAAAAGCCTACCCACAGATAAAAATCTAAAACAAAAGGGCAGAGGATCTTATGCACAAGTCGTATGCAATAAAAATAAGATTGCTGTTGTCAAATGGTTCAACAACAAATGTGTTACTGCTGCAAGCACTTTTGTGGATGCGTATCCTACCCAGATTGTGGTTCCTTACAAGAAAGAAGAAGGTAGAAAAGTGCCAGTGACTTGCCCCAATTTAATAAAAGAATACAACACTAACATGGGCGGTGTTGATCTCGCCGACATGTTAGTCGCTCTTTATCGTACACCATTCTGAGGTCATCGTTGGTATTTACCAATATTTTCTCAAATTCTCGACTTCTGTTTAAACAATTCCTGGCTTCTATATCGGCGAGAAAAGCCAGAATGGATACCAAAAAACGAAAATCGTTAAAAAAATTTAGAATGGAAATTTTTGAAAGCCTACGGAGGTATGAAAGAACTGATATGAGCGATATGAGCAGGCCTGGCATGAAATCAACCAAGACTATACAGAAGCCAACAGCTGAAAGACCGCCAGATGCTGTTTGGTATGATCAAGTTGCTCATTATCCAACTATTATAACCAGTAGAGGAAGGTGTATGTATTGCACAAAAGGGCTGACAAAATTCTTTTGTCAAAAATGTAAATTGAGGTTGTGCTTATTGCCGGAACGTAATTGTTTCATAGAATACCATACTAAAAATATTTATTTATTTATTTATTTGTATTTTATTTTTAACTATAAGACTGATTTTCATGATTGATATCAATTTACATAATTTATTTAGATTTATAAGATACAAAGGCTGTTTATTTTATGTTAATTTTTATACGTATGTAGAAGAACAAAATAATTATGATTCTTTTTTCACTGAGAATGTAGACATTTTAGGCTTTGTTTTGTTACAATTACATTTAAAACCCATTTATTAACTTTACTCAAACATTGGCAGTGTAGCAAATTAGATACGTAGATTTTATAGCGTTGATTGTTAAGGACCTGGCAATGTATCTAATATGATACGCTCAATAAATGTTGAATAACTTATATCATTTTTTTGTTATTTTTTATCCCTTCAACAACCACCAAAGAACATATTTAATATTATTTTTTCAATATTTCTAAAATATTTTTTTCTTGTCAAGTATAAGGTTAACCCATGAATTTTAAATACGTTGTTTTTATTACAGTAATGACTGGTAGTGACTGAGTATTAAAATAATATACTATAAAAGAACTAATATTTATCTTAAACTATCACCCGTTTTAATAACTCGAAAAAGCATCAAGTGGCATGCTTAAAAGATTTACAGGGTTATTTTTCATACAGTAGCCAAATTTTAAACTTAACGTGTATATGATTTGGATTTGCAGTTTGCACTCGAGAGTACCCGGGTTCGATTCCAGGAATGAGAAGTCAAATTTTCTTTTTTCTTTTTTATATATTTAATATTAGTTAGTAGTTTAGTACATTTAGGTAAATTAATTAAACACTTTTAGAAATAAATAAATAAAGTTTGAAATGTAATAATTTTTTACCCGAGAAAGAAAGTGGAAAATATCAACACGAAAGTTATTTCCAATTCGTAAGTACCTACAACTTTTGTAAGCTATAATAACAATAAAAAAAACTAAAAATACCTAATGTTTTTGTTAAAAAATAAACATGACGAAACAACAGAATCATCTAAAAATTTCGATGTGACTTATCACATGGAAGAGTTTAGGTTTATTGATTTTGTTTCCAGCAAATAGTAATTATAATTATGTAGAAACGTTTTGACTTTTACTTATAGCTTAAAAATATTTCAGTCAAATAAAAATAAATGAAATGCAAAACTACCTAAATATCTTGTAAACCATAAAACTAGAATAATATTTAGAATTGACATTTCTACGTATTTAAATTAGATTGGAAACAGTGGAACCACAGGAAAATCATCATTACGAAATTATTGATTATTGATTTTTTTTTTATCTTCACGCACAATCCCTAACGGGGTAGCCAGAGAGATAGGGAGAGTAGGGATCGCCAAGTGTCACGATCCTTACATACCTCTTTCGCTTCTTTCAGGTTCATTAACTTCTTCATACATGCACGTCTAGGTATCCGAGTACTCTTGACCCTCCCCTCTTCGAGCAATTTGCTCACATGGTCTTCCAAAGTTAGTCTCGGTCTACCTCGACACCTTTTAATATTTCCTTTCGCTCTATATATTTTCTTCACCATTCGGTCTTCACTCATTCGCTCAACGTGCCCAAACCATTGGAGTACGCCCCTATCAATTTTTGTGATAAGGTCATCTTTCAATCCTGCCATATTGCGAATCTCTTCGTTTCGCTTTCGGTCGGCTATGGTAACGCCACACATTTTACGAAGAGATCGCATCTCCACTGCATTCAACTTGCTTTTATGCTTCTTCTGGCATACCCAGGTTTCGCTGCCATATAACAAAGTCGGTACCAACACTGCGTTATGTATTGCAAGGAACTCTTCACCACGCCTTGCCTTTTGACTAATGCATTTAGGGCACCATTGACTTTGTTTCCGGCAGCGACACGCCTATCCACATCTAAATCACATCTTCCATCCCGGCTGAAAGCACTCCCCAAGTATACAATTTCATTTACCTGTTCTAGACATTCCTGATTTACCCATATTTCACATTTCGTTCTCTCTTCGTCCTTTTCAAATACCAGAACCTTAGTTTTATTAGCATTCAAACGGAGACCTTTAATTTCACATTCCTCTTTCATACACGTGACCAATCCCTGCAGTTCTGCTTCTGGTGGTGTATAATAAGCACTGCATCGTCAACATACAGCAGACAATTAACTTTAATGTCACCCAATTTCACACCCAAACAGCTATTTTTCAGCTTCTGTAAACAGCTGTCGAGATACAGTATGAACAGCCAGGAAGACATGACACAACCCTGTTTTACGCCCGCTTGGACGCTAAACATGGGTGACAGGTCATGCCCTACCCGCACACAAGCTTTACAGTCATAGTAAAGTGACTGCACAGCTCTTAACAATCGACCATCCACACCATATCCCGGCAACAGTTCCCACATTTTCTTCCTTATAACCTTATCAAATGCTTTCTCCAGATCCACAAAAGCACAGAAAATCCTCTGGTTAACACTCAGAAGCTTTTCCGTGAT